ATTGGAATATTGCTTTCAAACGAGAACTTTTATGTCAAAATCAATTTACATCATCTCAGTATCGTTTGCGTTAGGAATATTAATCATATGCATACGTACTTACAACGTTCAGAACCTGAAAGTCACCTATTAAGCCAGGTTTCGGTTACCTCGGCGCTTACTATTATTGCTTGCTGCTATCATTTATGGAGACCAAACTCTTGCAAGGGCGTCATTGCTTTGACAGTTAATCAGCGGAATATATTGAGAAAATATTTTAATAAAATTAATTCCGATGGCAATGCTCACTACAAAATATCTCACATATGAATTATAGCACCCATAAAATACTATATATATGGACTGTATAATACATTACAGTGGAAACGTTAATTGTTCAACGTATAAACTTGACCATTATACAAACAACCAAGTTCAGCACTCAACGGAGTGTAGTGCGGCGATGTACACTGCAAAGTGTGCGGCGAAATATTAGAGGTAAAAATTTTAGCTATTAAAAATTGTGTGTGGCGATAAAATGAGTTGACGACGCTTGGAATGTCCAATGAATTTGTAAATTAAAATTGCTGTAGTACAGTTGGCCTTGCACTTTGTTTAATATTTTGCATACGAAATGAAGTATCGAACCATATAGGGAACGCTATTAGCTTTTATGCAGTCCATTTACGGATGAATAGCGCTCTAAGCTCAGCTTGCAGGAAATACGTAATCCATTACGTCCTTTTAGGCAAGACGCAAACGTGCTTTGCACATTGGCTGCACATTGGATTTTTGCACAAAATTGAAAATGAAAGTAAAATTAAATTAAAATTAATTTCATTGAAGTATCTTTTTTGTCTTCGGTTGCGTATACTTTAGTTATTTTTAATATTGCGCCAGCTTTTACGTGAGCTCCAGTGCAATTAATGTTACTCATACGCCATGTGGAAACGAACTTTTATTTTTACTAGCGAAGTGTGTCACATGTCTTAATTGCTTTGAATTATTATTTAATGGTATTGAAATTAAATTAACTGGTACGAAGTACTGGCATAGCCCCAAAAATGTTTATGATGTAAACCACTTGGGTTTCTCTGGTTCTTCAATTATAATAAATGATATGCAAAAGCTGTCTAATATGAGAGCATTGGTTTAGACTATGATTTGAAAAAATTATAACTTATTTATTTATTCTAAGCACCCATCAACAATAATGAAGAAGCAACTAAGCACATGTTTCATAAATCACAAGCAATTTTTTAATGACGTCATCGATCCATCTTAAACATTTGGTGGAAAAATTGTGAGCTGTTTAAGAGTTGCAATATAAAAATGAACCGTTTGAGGAGTAATAAAAATCGAAAGTTGGGAGTGGCTAGGAAATATAGCTAGGAAATTAGCTACTCCAAAAATTTGTACTTCGATACACAGAACTTAGTGATCGTTTTTCAAACTGTGAGAACAGACGCATTGTTGTGAAGGAGAATAAAATTGTTCTTCTGTAAACTGAATTCGATCGATAGCTGCCAATAAATATTTAATTTTTTTTTTTGAATTTAAATGTGATTTGCCAAAAAGCTCCTTTCATCTTTTAAGACTGACGCTAACACCTATTTGATCAGTTTCTGAACATTAACTAGCTTTAAGGTTAAAAAAAAAGATTCATATAACTTTCTAACTACTTGTTTTGGAACACGATCATACTGGAAAACCGCAGTCTTATTCATAGTTATGCTACAATGCATAAAATCTATATTTTTCCTTCCCGAAATGTTTGGAGTGCTGCTTATAACAAAGCATTTAACTTCCTTCTTTAATTCTTGTGTATATTTCTGTCATCATAATTATTGTATTGCATTCTGGAAGGCGTGAACACCAAATGTTCATGACAGTGCGTCCAATGATAAACTATTGTACCCTATCCTATTCTTAATTACCAAAGAATTTCTTTTATTTTAACTATACAACCTCTTCTATTTCGATGTTTGACTACTCAGATTTGTGGATAAATTCACTGTTAAAAATCCTTCCCTTTTATCTTATAAGAGCAGAACATTTTCGAAGAATATATAAGAGTGCTTCCGTATCTCTCATAATATCCTGTATCATCGAAAGTTGTCGAAATATCTAAGTGTAGCTTAAGCAATCCAACCATTGCTTTTAAATCTGATCTTTTAAAATTTAGGAAATATTTGCTCTTCTCTTCTCTGTGTAATTTTAGAAGAGCTTTTTACAGGGAAAAAAACTGTGGTTAGCTCCAGTGGTGAAGTCCGATTTGATAAGACTTTTGAAGTGATTTTTGCTGACTTAAGAAACTGGCTATGGCCCACCTTGTTGGCTTCAGGTAGTATTGCGACTTTATTATCATCAAACCCGCAGTATGCAGGTTTCCAGTGTAATATCACTTGATTCCCAGCGCTACCTGGGTTTATAGTACATTTACACTCTCATAAATAAGCATTTCTTACTATGTCACTTGCTTTATGATGCTTAAATTGCTGAAGGCATACAAGATGGCTATTTTGCTTGAATAAAGGAAGTCACAGATACTATTTGAAGTAATTATAAGTTTTAATAAATAAATTTATGACATATATGCATTAATATACAATTTCCGAAATTTTTCTAGTTTTTTATATCTCTTGGCAATTTTATAAATTAATTCAAGTGCTATTATTCAATGCTGTGGTACACTTATCTGTTTCTATAGCAATTTAATGCAAAATTTAAACTTCAAAAGTAGGAGAAGATTTCGACATGGAAGTCGGAAACTTCATTTTAAAATATGTACAATTATTAATTTTCATTATGTTAATATTTATTATGTTTTTATTAATGTTTTTTTAATGAACAATAAAACTTTATAATTTTCTTTTGAGTGCATCATAAGCACAAAAAATGATCTCAGGTTGTTTTAATTAATTAAATTTTTTTCCATTATTTATAAGTTGAACAGATACAACATCTCGTCAATTTGCCAATTCATGCCAAATCTTCATATTTTTCCATTTCATCGTAAAAGCATTAATTATAAAACAATCATATTTAATCCAAATACAACATCATAAGTCACAAATCATATTTTATCTCATATGTACCAAAGTGGTTAGTTGATAGCAAGGCAATGCTGTTTAACAGCTTCCGTTTGTCATATTAAAGCCTTTGAGTGGAATTAATTGTTAATAAATTCATAAATATCAAAGCTGACAGAATGAAACATTGATATTTTATTAACTTAAATTTTATAAGAAGAAAAGTTTCATTACTAGTACTTGGACTTATGGAAAATATATCTGAAATTACCAGACTCTGCTGTATGCATAACTCAAAGATCAGCCGACTTGGAGCAATTAAATGCTAAATTGCTCAGCTAATAATAGCAACCGAATCAGCATTACTGTATTATTTTATTTCCACGCCCCCCTCACACTCGCTACTAAGTTATGCATATTTATGAATAGCAATTGCGTAAGATGGGCGGCAATTGCATGCTTGAGAATTGCAAATGCCTGGGAGCGAGCAAGGAAAAACATTATAAAAATTCAAATTAATAAATAAACCCATTTTAAATGTTTCATGATTTGATACCATAAATCATAATTAAAAAGACTATAATTAACTCAGCACACAACGACTAGAAATGCAAAGTCGCTGATATAACAATCCCAACGGACAATAAGTAACTGCCACGAAAGTCTTATGCACGTGATGAAGGTCTTATGAGAGATGCAATCTGAATCAGTGATGCTAGGAAGTAATTGAAATGGATTGAGCAAACTGTGCATCTTCATCATAAATATTATCTATGTCTTGCAAAGTGTTGTTGAAAAGTTGGGAGTATTGAAGCGTTGGTACTAAGACTTTCCTAATGTGCAGCGTTCGTGTTTAATAAGGCGTTGTTGAGATACAAGGACGTGCAGTTTTTAAGTCTCATAAGAGAGTCTCATCATTTATTTTAAGAAATTGTATACATTCAGTATACATTCGGAAAGAGAAAGTATGAAGATTTTAAAATAATAACATGAAAATGCAAAAAATATGAGTACACATCCAAAAAGTAACAACGAACTATAGATAGTAAATAGGTAGTGCGGGGTAGTGGGCGGGAAAAGAGGTCACCCAAACTCACAGACTTTTAATAATTTTTTCTCATTAAGAAAGGTATAATTATTTACTTGGTAACCCTAACTTTCATATTGCTTTCATTTTCTTTTATTTTTATGACTCATGAATATATATTTATACGGATTGGTTCTGTGTGCAATGTTTGGTGTCCATTGGTCAACTTAATTAAGATAGTTTCAACTTAATGTTATAGCGAAATTAATACTTTAAAAAGGAAAAAAATTTCAAAAATTAATTATTTTCTTACTGGAAAAAGGATCAAAGCAATACAGTTGACTTTCATTTGTTTTGCTTTCTTATCTGTTTATAGATTAAAAATCAGAAGTATATTGTTTTAAAATTTTTGATAAACAAAAAACAAAAAAAAAATAAAATAAATTGTTTGGCTTTCGAATTTTGAGCAAATTTAATGGAATTTTACGATTTCGTATATGGCAGATCGAGGTAGCGATATCACATAAACGAGTTTAATAAAAACCAAACAAAAAAATGAAAGGTCCAGTTTTTCTCTGTTGAGATAAAGATTAACTGCAAATATTTGATTTACTATTTTTAATTAAAATTTAAAGTACAAGTTTATTTTTTGAAAGGAATTTATTTATTAGCTATTTTAAATAATATATTTTAATGAAATTCAAAGAAAAAAAACTGTTTAAATAATTATTTTTATTTGTAGATTAAAAAAAGTGATAGGTGCTTTAATAGAAATATTTGTAGATTAGAATATCTGGTATAAATTTATAGGAATCGAAAGTTGCTGTAGAATTACTTCTATGAAATTGTGTTTTTAAAATTCAATTTTATTGAATTATTTACGAATAATTAAATAGTACAAATAATTTTAAGACCATTGGATGAATGGTGTTTTGCAATACTCGAAACAGCTGTTTTTTTTTTTATTGCGGTATATTCCAGCTGTAGTGCAATACCAGGCCAATCCGCGACAGAGGTGGCGCAAACCCCTAAACACTATGTCTGATTCCAAAAATCAGTTCAACATTTCTTGTCCTTCGATGAAGAATCTATCATATGTTAAGCTGATAAGAATAGATACTACACTTCAAACTTACCCATAATAACTGTATGATCAGCTAAAATTCAATTGATTAAAAATAAATAAAAAGAACTACTATTGTACTATATACAATAGTTCCTATTAATCATAACTGATTAAATTAAAATAAATTTTAATATGAAATTTGATTTTATCAAAATAATTTAGTTTTAACTTTAAAGTATAATACATTTAATCAAAGATATTTAACAAAAGGAGTATACACGTTTACTCTTTTATAGAACACCGGGTTCGGTTCGTATAATAACTAACACCTAAATTTATACCAAATTTATAAAATTTATACTAAATTTATAAATTTAATTATTTAAACACATAGTATTAATTATCTTAATAAATTAAAGTATTTATGCAAAAAAACAAATTTGTCGCCTTAGATCAAAAAATTTTTATTTCACAAATTTGTGTGTCTTTGCGCTGCAAGCAAACACGGCAAACACGGACTGCTGTAAATGCTGCTTCGCTGTTATGTGGCTGTTATGTGGCTGTTATTTCGCTGTAACTTCGTTGCTACCGTACATTTTTTTGTTGTACTTACATTACTCAAATAATCTTCTATAAAAAATTGGCAAAAAATTTCAAATTTTTTACGGACTTGATTGTTGTGCTATCATGTGACTTTATTTATATATATATATATGTGTGTGTGTGTGCGTGTGTGTGTGTGTGTGTGCATGTTACATGTTTGTAATAGCATGCTAGTGTGGTATATGTGTGTCAACAACATATGCAGTAAATGCATTAAAGCAACAGCAATGCAGGTAATTATGATCAATAAAAGTGTTTACTTATATTTCATTTTTTATTTTTCAAATTATTTCTGTTATTGTTGTTATTGCTACTTACTATTCACTTAAAAGAAAATAAAATAATTTAACTGCATTTTGTTGTTATTTTACATTTTTATTATTAATGCATTAATTATTTTATGGAATTTATTTAGTGGCTTCAAACAGTTTGTCTTATTTTTTTTTGTTTTTTTCTTCTGAAAATTATGCATTATTTTTGTTGTTTTTTATGTTGTTACTAAGCATTTTGAGTTACTGTTGTTACTGCTGCCAACAGACATCTGCTAACTTTTCGCTGCTTTCTGTCATGTGACTCGTTTTTACATGGTATGTGGTGAAAACCGAAGCCGACCCTCATCGCTTAATGTAGGCAAAATTTGTGCACATGATTTGCGTGTTAATTTGGTAATTGCGCTGCCACTGCACTGTCGCTGCACTGCTACTGCAAAATAGTTTTAATTTTATTGTTGTTGCTGCTTTTTTTAATTGTTGCGGTTTCTGAAAGAAACCGTTAATAGAGTTTTGCATAATTTTTTTTTCGTTTTTGTTGTAGGATTTCCGCAATTAAACAGTAAAAACTAGTTTATACTTAAATTTTTTCATCATTTTTTTTTGTTGCTTTTTTTGTTTTTGGTATATTATACATTATTACATTTTTTTCTAATTTGGTGTTTTCATTTACGCTGTCTGCACTACACATTAGAAGGTTGAATTGGGCGTAATGATTGCTACAAATATTATTTAATAACATTTTTCATAAAAAAAAAAAAAATTATATATTTAAAAATGCTTATCTGCAATAATCTGCAACTAAAAAATAAATATAACTAAGAAGTGAAGAAGTGTAAAAAAAAATAATTCTTATTTAACAGCAGCATAAAAAGTTAGCTTGTTGCTCAAAAAGCATGCGCTGGTAATAACAGCAATACACAAGCAATAAACGTATTAGCAAAAACAAATAAGCTTAACACTTCGCTTGCTGGTGCGTTATTAACAGTTTAGAGTTTACAATTCATAACAACAACAAAAGTAAACATTGTTAAAAGGCAGGCATTAAGGCATAATTGCTATGGTGGAATTTGTTGCTGTTCTGGGTTACATTGTGGTGTGTGGTGTGTGGTGTGTAGTGTGTAGTGTGTATTCTTGTTAACATTACCGTTGCAAACGAGTTTGTTTCTTAAGTCTTTTCTATGCCCATTGCATTTCTGCAGTAATAACTTAAAGTTTTTGTATTTAATAACAATATTGTAACTTATAATTAATTAAATAAAATTAAATTATTTCCATTTTTTTTAATATATGTATGTATGTTTTTTTTATTACAGGTAAGCGGCTATGTGACACTATGTTATGACACGCATGTTTATGTAGCGCATTGTTTAGAAGCTCTGCCTACATAATCGTTGCAGTTAACAGTTTATGTTAAAGATATCTGGTAAATTAGTTAATTTTATTTATACATATATATATCTTATATATATGTATTTTAAATTATTAATTTTAGCTTTGAGTGAAAATATTAATTTAATGTGAATACTTAAACATTGCCTTTTTTTGTTTTGTTTTTTATTAATAATATGTTTTTCCTAGATTAGCTAAAATGGCTTAAAGTAATTACGATTTAATTATCTCTCTAAAGTCTACTAACTTAAGTTGTATTCATATATGTTGATTACTACTGCTTTGACCAGTCTAAACAATTTAATTCTTTTTTTGCAATATATTTCTCTACCTTAATAAGCTATCAGCAAAACATGCACATGCAATAAGCAACAAAAACGTTTAATTAAATTTATTTGAATAATTTATTAGTCTCATGTTCTTGTCCAAAAACAAATAATTTTCATTATATACTTTTTTATTTAAATATTGGCAAATATGTACACTTACATATGTTTACCTACATATATTAGCAAATAAGCAAAAGCAATCGCCTCAAAGTCATTAACGTTGCAAACGAAATCACTTTGCTAAATTTTGAGGTGTGTTTCACTATTTCACAGTTTATTCACCAAATGCATTTGGTATAAATTGTCAATTACAAAAAAAAAAAAGAAAAAAAATTCCCAAAAATGCCTGCGAGCAATTTTGCTTCTATTTTGGCAAACTCGAAGCACTTGAATGCGGAAGTAACTACCATTGCTTCGACTGAACACACCTTTATTGTTCTGTGGCTAGTTTGCTTACTTAAGCTCATAAAATATTGTCATTAACGCAAAATACTTTAAACTTAACAAATTATAATTTGTTTATCGATTCGCTATCAGTTATTCATTCATGCAGTAGCAAATACATCACTTAACCATATACCAACGACAATAACAACAACAACTACAACATATTAAATAACACTTCTGTTACATGTTGCCAGCCATAAAAATAAAGCAAGAATTGTGTAATGAAGTGTTAAACGTTTAGCTTCCAACCGAAATCGTGGCACGAGTCACAATTAACTCAAGAAAATTGCAGTCAAGCGTTAGTAATACACTGTAATACAGGGTACAACAACTGCTGACTATAATAAAAGTCAGCCAAATAGAATAATATTTCCACATAGGAATAAGAATGAATGTTAAATACCTTTCGGAAGGTACTACATATTACTACATATTATTATTATGACCAACAATTTGCATATCAAACTTAAAAACAAGCAATACAAACCGTATCATGATATAGGGTTCTCGATAGAGACAAATCTATATTCTAGAACTTCACATCATCGATGACCAAGCCTAAGATTCCCTCCGAATTTTAGCGTATGTAAGAAAGACGAATTAAATAGAATTCCCCAGGAACAGTAGAATACAACTATCTCGTTTAGAAAAACAACAACATGATAAGTTCAAAACTTTCATTACTGTTTTAATTATTGAACGTTATGAAGTCAATTAAATATATTATACAACTACACAACCTCTATGAAACTAAGTATCTTTTATTGTTCTCCAAAGTTCCTTTAGCCAAAGGTAATTTTTTGAATTTCGATATCAATCTCGAAAAGAGTGTCTCTTCTATCGCTAACTCACTAACAAGGATTGGATTGGATTTGAAGTGTTCCGCGTCTTTAATATCGATACTTTCGATGCTTAATATAAAATTGATATCATTGTTAGTTCTCATGTGTTTGGACTTGAAGCGATTCAACTTTAAATCCACTTCACTTAACTGAATTATATATATTACTTCAGGGGATTGCTTTGCGGCAATAATTTAAGCGAACTACATCATTAGACCTCAGAAGAAACTGGAAACAGCTGACATCTTGAATATATTCCTTATATTTATTTTTGTTGACTACATTTTTTTATAAGATGTTAATGTGAACTAAATTTCAAAGGTATTGAGTTAATATTCGTTACTCAACATATTCATACAACATATTCAACATATACAACATATTCATTGTCATTGTCATTGTTTCAGATCCAGCACTTTTTTAAGCATTATCAACTATTCTATATTTATATTTATTATTAAACATCATACATTATATAATCAATTGTTTACAATTATAATTTTCATCATGTTTAAATTATATTGCCTATAAATGAAAACTCATTGTTTTCATCTCATTGTCATTAGATGACTTAATGGGTGACTTTTAATATAATTCTTACTGGAAATACTTTTACCTTCATTATTTGGTTGTGGTTCGAGACTTATGAACCTTAAAATGGGCGAATTGTAGTTCTGTTAATGTATATGTGATCACAACAAAGTTTTAAAGCAGTCACTATAGACTAGTAGACTAAATAAATATTCAAAATTTGGTATTTTCATAGAGACATACATATATGAAAGTACAAACGACATAGTTCCGGGAGACTTTGACGGCAATGTCTGCGGTGAAAATATTGAAAACGTTCAACTACATTTTGTCGCAAATTGCAGCGACGAATCGCACTTAAGTGCGTGGGACAGAAATCTTGACACATTTTCCTCTTTATTTGTTCTACTTTTCTGTGTTCTTTTCACTCACACTCCTCTGCCCATCAATACAAATCAACCATTTTTATTTTGTGACATTATTATGTGAGTAATGTGATTTTTTTTTTCATTATTCTTTTTTTTATTTCAACTTTTTTCGTAATTATCTTCACTTTGATAATAATTATATATACTTCGTTACTTGTGGCACGACGCCACACTCTACACCCACATACACAAGTTAAATACTTTAGGAGGAAATTTATGACTAATTTTGTTGCAGGGAAGTATGGAATTAAGAA